TAAGAACAAAGCCACCCCAACCATTTGTAGTCTTGCATGGTGCAGATGAGGGACAGGAGGCTGACGATGCCAATGCCATGCGGCAGAGAGCAAACTGGCTGCCCGGGATCAGCCCTGCTCTTGGGAAGCAAAACCTCATGAAGGCACAACAGCAGCTCTGTTATCCTCTGATATCTCTGATATCCTCTCGCTCCTGCAAGAGCCCACAGGTACGGAGCTCTGGGCAGAGTTGCAAACAGTGGTGGGAGCACCTGCCTGCCCCGAACCCTGCCTGGGGCACAAGGCCCAGACAACCACCTCTTGGCCAGGGGAGAACCTGCAGAAGCAGTGCCAGGCTGCCAGACTTTAGCCAAGTGTTTGTTATTGCCTTCTAAGAACACTTTCCAGCTACTCCACGTTGGCAGCCCAAGTCACCTTCAGCAATATTTCTGTGCTGTGCACACCGCCAGGGTGGAGACTGTGCCTGTGCGTCCTGGAGGGGAGCTGCGTGTGCCGGTTAGATCACACAGAAATGCTTAATTAATTTGGCATACAGCGTGTCCCCTGCAATAACAGAGGGTAGCCAGGAACAATTAAGGAACCAGCAACTTAGCTAGCCCCTCTATTAGTGGTCCTGCTTTAATTAAATATAATTACATTTTATATGCGTACATTTAAATGTGTGCCTGTAGCCTGCCTAACTTTTGCCATCGTACTCACACAATTTCTGAGCTCATTTAGGGTACAAAACTGGCCCACGGGCCCTCTCTTTTAGGCTGCTTGTCTCTCCAACTCCCTTATGTTTTCACCTGCATCTACAGACCATACCTGGACGCCAGCTTTACCTGCTGTGAGCGCTGATGCTGGTAGGGAGGCTGGGGGGGAGCAAGCAGGGCTCGCTTTGGGACCTCACCCCGTACCCCAGGGCTGTGCGACCTGTGGCTGGGACGACCCTAAAGGGGGGGCAAGGCCTTCTCAAATAGGTTGAAGCCTTAAATAAGCGCCGTGCGGTTTTTCCGCAGGCTGCGATAGAAGCGGGGAAGGGGCCGCAGGTCCCCGGGCTGCGGGCAGGGGGAGCTCACGGTGCGCTGGTGGCGGCCGCTTGGCTCCGAGCGCAGCTCCTCCGTGCTCGGCACCGCGCGGGGTTTGCGATGAAATAACGCAGCCCTAGTGCAGCACGGACAGTGCCCGGCACCCTCAGGAGCTGCAAAAGCCGGAGTAAATCCAAGCAAAGGCGGCTTAGCCCGGTGCAGGTACGCGCCGAGCCCTCGCATGCCCCGTGCGTGCTGAGTGCCGGGGTCTGGGGACAGAGCCCGGCCCCTGCCCACCGGGGGCTCCTCGTGGTGTGTCCTGTGCAAGGTGGTGATGAGCAGTGCCCCGGTGGGCTCACAGCAGCAGGGCTGGCCAGCTCGCTTTGCTCCGTCTTTCCCAGTGAAATGGGCACGAGCTGGCTATGAGCTGCACGGCCACGGGACCACGGGCATCTGTGGTTTGCTTCGTGTGTCAGAATAAAGTGAAAATTTGATTTCAGAGATGAGCAGTGTGAACCATTCCTTGGCACAGAGGAATAGCTGCACTCTGACACTGCCTCTGTGACATCTGTGGGGTTACAGAAGGATTCTCTGCTGGTTTTTCTCTTCACCTACTTTACCGAGGGTGTCTGGCTAGCGCTTTGAGACAAACATGGTCTTGTTCACTCAGCAGTAGCTCCGTGGGGTTGGCAGGTATGTCAGGCAAGTACTTGAGAAGATTCATACAAGCTACTCCTGAGTTAATGAAATAATAGCATGAGGATCAGTTATCTCGCTCGGTGCCTTTCCAAACACATCCTTCAGAAGAATAACTGCTGCGGTGCTGATCCAGCATTTCCAAAATATTAGCATTCCTATTTTAGCATCACAGAAGCTTAATTGCTGAGCAAGTATAAACAAGGAGTTCCAGTTACAAAATTCTCTCAAACGCATAGGAACCATCTTTATTTTTTTTAATTACATTTTATTGCCCTCATTTTGAAAATGCCCAAAGACAGCGGCTCCCACCATGAAGCTCCGCATTGCAGAGCACTATGAGGAGCGTTGGGCGATGGTCTCGATGAGATGAGATCTCGAGCAGATCTCTGATCTGCTGCTTGACAGCCCAGGATAAATCTTTGCTGTTTCGCACATTTGCAGTATCTCAGCACAACACAACGGCCTAACCCGTACTCAGATTTTCGGCACAAAAAATGTCTTCACTTGCTCATTTCTCAAGTCTATCTCAGTTTTCCACCCTGAGCCAACGCAAGCCCACCCCACCCAGTCCCAGAACACACAAGGATTATTCCGAGCCTGGGGCAGAGGAAAGAGCTGAATGTGCTCGGAGTCCCAGGCACAAGTGTGAGCCGTGCTGGCCGTGCTCTGTGCCCAGAGGACTGCAACACCAGCACCATGGTGGGGCCACGTGTGCAGGAACGAGTCCCTGCACCCGCCTCTGCTTGGTGGCAGCTGTATCTCAGCTCTGCTATCAGGAGTTTTTGGTTTCCCACTGTGCTGAATGGCAGGGGCTGAAAGGGGATTTTGTTTCCCATCCCAGTGTGAACAAGGCAGTTCCCTTGGCCCAGTGATTCAGTGCTCCCCAGAGGTGTGGTGGTGTGACGCCCGAGCAGCTTCAGGCTGCCACCGCTGGGTATGGCAGCCCAGCTACCCCTGCCACCGCTCAGCACCATGCCCTGCATGAGGGGGGCATCCTGGCTGCGTTTCTGTGTAACCACATGCCTGGCAGGGGAGAGAAAGGGGCCAAATCTTGGCAGCAGCCATGGTACGGCCATCTGTACCAAGGCTGTGGACCGCCCCATTCCCTCCATCCTCCACAAATGCCCCCAGCCCCAGCAAAAACCACCACGAAGCCCTTTCCTCCCTGTCATGCTGGGCTTCTCCTCCACCTCTTTCACATACCAAGGTGAGCTTTCCCTCCTCATTTCCAAACCTCTGCCTACCTTGTTGAGCCTTTCCCTCTCCCTCCTATCCCGGGTTCACCCCCGCCTGCTTCTGCTGCCTCCGCCACCCGTGCTGTACTTCTCCCTGTTTTCACACTATTCCCGTTGCCTGGGATAACCTTCTTATCAAAACGCAACAAGCTGTCTCCAGCTCCTTTACAAACCATATGAGTATCCACCTGTTCCCTTGACAGTAACCATATGCCTCTCTGTATTTGTTCTGGAGCGTGGGAGGCTGCTTTGCGCGATTTGGGCAAGATCCAGCTCCTACTGAAATCAAGGAAAAAACTTCCCATTGATTCCATGGCACTTGTACCAAAGCCTCAGCCTGTAAATTTAATGGGACGCTTTCCACACATTTCATTCCTGCAGTGCATCACACACATTTAGGATTCTATTCAATTAGCCAGTAACGATTATCGCTTAATTACGATGATACAACACCAGCCGAAGAGATAACACTGCTGTTACCATCTCCGAAGGGTAGCACCAAATTGTGTATAAAAAAGCCCCTTTATATGGCAGTGTGTAAAATCCAGCATGCAAGGAATTACAGGCACCTAATGACAGAGACTCCAGCTGGGGACGAGTCTCCCAAGTCTAGCTCTCCTTGGTGATCTGAGTGCAGAAGCTATCTCATTATCAAAAGAAATCTGTCAACACTATTTGTGCGGAACCATAAACATAATAAATCCTGCCAGCTCCTCTGTGAACTGGCTATTTATTGCATCCATCTCCGAGGCTTTTTGATACTGGGGCTGGAGGCTGCAAACATAAATACTGTAATGATGTGTTGCATATGCCGCAGCTTAATTTACTAGGTTGGATTTGAGGCTTCATTTCAGAAGACCCTCAGCATCTCGCCTCCAGGCCCCCTGCACAGCCCAAGAGATAACACAATGACCCCACAAACCACAGCCAGCCTCCCTTGCACTCATGTGAGCCGAAATGACGGGGTGTGTGTGTGAGCACAGACAGGGCAGGCACCTCCCCAGGCAGAGCTGAACCAGCACCAGGGGTAAAGACCAAAAACCCAACCCAGAGCCACCTCCAGGCCATTCATCCAAGCCACCTGAGCAGGGAGGCTGTGCAAAACAGGTCCCACCCTCACTGCCTGTTACTGGTGGTGGCCGGAGACTTCAGAGCGTGCCTCCCAGTCAGCCTGCAGTGCAGGATGCACAGCCAGGCCCTCACCTCCACCCTGTCAACCTGGCAGCTGATTTGAGGTACTGCTTGGATCTCTTAGCTGGAAGGCAGGATCGATCAGACAGGACACAGTGCACCTCTACTTGTGGGGCAGTAGATCCCAATGCTGGCCCTGTATTTCTGTTACATCTTTCTTTGTAGAAGATTCTGCATGAAAAATCATCCTTCAAACACCTAAAAATTTCAGCAGCAACAGAAATACTAGTTCTCTGGTTCTAGTGAGAAAGTCAAACACGTTCACTCTGGTTTTATCTGAAAGGCTCTCCTTCCTCCCTCCTTTCTCCACAGTTTTTTTCCTGCCACCCCTAACCTGAATAAAACAAGTTATAACACCTAGCTGACGTATCACAGAAGCAACCTTTCTGGTTATGCTTCATGCAAGAACAACACTGCCTCTGTTCTTATTTGAAGTGGCCTTTGCCTCAGAGGCACCAATTTTGGTGACACATTCAGGAGTGAGACCCATGCTGTAGGAGGGCGGGGACGAGGTGCTGCTGGTGGCCATAGCCCAAGTTCACGCTGCAGCATCTCAGCAAGGACCTCACCCACTTCCCAAGGAGCTCTTTTTTCTGCCATGCTCTCCTCTTCCTTGTCACAGAGAGCACTTCTTTCTTGGCTAGCTGTTGTCCTAATTTCCATTTTGGCTTAGTATTCTTCCTCTCTGACACACTGCTGTTAGCCAGGGGACTGCCTCTAATTTGTATTGCACTCACCAAGGTGCATGTCAGAATATTTGTGCCATCATGCAAACAGAAGGCAGTATCGCCACATATCATAATGCCTGCAGGAACGACCTTGTATGAAGACTTTTGTGAAGTATAAAAGTATCACATCTACTTACATGCATCCAACAGTAAGCTACATGTCAGCCAAAGGAACCGAGGATGATGCGAGCTGAATTTGTCCTCATATCCCTTTTTCAGAAAAGCAGGGTCTGTTTGAGAAACCTGAAAGAAGAACACAGAATTTCAGCAAACAGTTTTTGGGACTCAGTCTGCATCCTTCCTGAAGTAGTTTTTTTTTTTTTTTTTTTTATGAGAATTTCTTCTTTGCTTTTGCCACTGCTGCCTGGCACCTGCTTGAAAACTTTCCCTGCTTGAAAACTAAGGACGGATTTCAGCAAAGCAGAGGGAGATAACATGAAAAAGGCACAAGGTTTTCATGTTGCCCAGTTTTCTTTAAAGTCACTCATGAGTTTGGGGGCTCAGTTTGACACACCTTAAAGAGGCTGTGTGTGGAAGGTAAAGAGAGGTTACACTGGTTTTGATAAGATAAGGATTGCTTGAACTTCTGCTGCAGCTAGAATAAAATCTGACAACACATTTAAACATTTAGTTAATTTACATGAAAAAAAAATAAGCAAAGCAAAAGTCCACATCATTGTATTTTTTTCCTTAGGCAGGAAGGAGAATCAAAACTTCCAACCAAAGCAAGCAGTGCTGAAGTTTAGCTACATGATACTTAAACCTTCATCTCCAATAGCCAGAGATGCCTGCACTTCTATGCCTAAAAAGCACAGACTGGTCGGGAGAAATGCCAGCTGGACGGTACGTGGTGCACAACTGGCTTGTGCATCGAGGCTGAATAAACAATTATTGACTCGGCTTGTGCAGCGCATTCAAGGGATGTTATTAACTGCACCAGAAAAATCAGTCAGGCAGATTCATATGCAGGGCTGAGTTTTTTTCGGAATCTGTCCCACTCCCCATCCCATTCAGCACAGCAAAAACTGCCAAACATTGCAGCTATTCAGTTTATACATATGTATGTATAAACATATGCATATAAACCTCCTCTCTAGCTGTAATAAAGCGAGCGGTTAAGCAGAATTTAAGCCATTACTGTAACTTTTCAGTTTCCCTAGAAGATCTGAAACGGGATGTATAGCACCTCAAATGTGGTTTTCATTACTACTGAGTCGAATATGGCATCCAGGTTATTCCTAAAACAAAACAAATTAGAGATTTATCTCAAACAATTGGTGTAATTGGTAACTTATTTACTTTCTCTGGCAATTTCCAAGTCACAAGAGCACGGTCTCTATTTTTCCTTTTTATAGATCTATTTATTACATTCCAATCTACATTAGATCTTCCTGAAAGTTCAAAATATTAGATCTAAAATAATGAGTTTCCCAAAGATTTTCTGTAATCAGTTCAATCCTGCCTGTGGCCGGAGCAGAGGACTGGGAGCCAGGAATTCTTAAAGTCTACATCAGAGCTCTGCCAGTAATTTGCTGAATTAAAATTAGTTCAAATCTTTCAAGTTGTGCTTAATTTAGAGTCCCAACAGCATTGAGCTGCCTTTATAGAAGACCCTAAGGATGAAACTGAGCCCCATATGAACAAGGGCAGATTTTGCCACTGCCCTGACTGGGATTAGGATTTTACCTAGTCTGGAGGTGTTAGGAGATAGAAGTGTCTTCCCCAGTCCAAGGACAAGCCTGTGAGGGCAGGCCAGGCGTACTGTAATGTTCGCAACAAGACACCGTGCCCATGGAGGGCAGAAGAGGTGCGCCCTCCTGCTCCTGCCCCAGAAAACTTGCACGGCATCTAAACCTCACAGCCTGAGCTCGGGCTTAGGATTCATCCGGTGCCTCTAAGTAAGATGTCAATGTCACTCTGTCAACAAATCTAAAAGCAAAGTCCCCTGCAGACCTGTAACATCAAAACAGCAGACAAACGCCTGAGACAGATTATGCATGAATACAGCGACAAGTTCGCAGCCGCTGCGTTGTCCAACTCTGTCTATTCCCAGTGTCTGAGGATGGGTGGCAAAGAGAATGCATTTAACAAGAAGGAAAAGACATTAAACATCAAACATCCCTTTGCTTCTGACAATTAATTGAGAAGAAAACCTCATAATCAGTTGCAGATTTGTCTCCCTGTAGCTAGCGTGACTCTGCTCAATTATCACGCTGCAGTCCGGAGCGAGGAGCTGGGTTCTCAGCTTTGTAGTCCATGGGGACAGGGAGGCAGCGGGCAGAGCTGAAAGGTTAAAGGTGGCAGGGGGAGGGCGCCGGGGGTGTTGCTGTCTCTGTGTTAGCCATAAATAATAGAAACCAGTGTGGTCTTCAGCTTACAGTCCAGCTTGAAACCCACGCTGTATCGGGGCTGTCAGCAAGGTGCTGGGAATACGTGCACAGAAAGCTGCCCTGACCCGAGAGAGGTCTACGCCTGCAGGGAGCTCTCTGTTGATAAGCAAAGATGTCTCAAGGACACTGCACGGTGAAGATGCTGCCCCTGCTTTCCATTCCCTCTGCAGCCCTAGTGCCAGTCAGTGCCTATCAGTCTCCAATGGACAACAGCCCCGTATGAAAAAGTCACAGACATTTACTTTACTTTACTGCCTTTGCCATGTCAGGGGGAAACAACCCCAGCCCCTGCCAGCCCCTCATCTCTACCTCTCTTACCACCTGAATTTGCAAAGACTTATTTCCAGTCTAGCTCGGCTGATTTGGGATGGGATGTTTGGGGCAGCCATCAGATCCTCAGAAGGATGCGCTGCTCTCTGGCGGGGAGGAAGGCTGGGGCACACTCTTCTCCCCTGAGCGCAGCCAGGGTCACTCTTATAGGGTGAATCACCTGTAATTCAGTTGTGCCTTACACCATGCAGCAGAGGCATTGAGGAAACTATGAAATGCTGTTGAAGTTAAAGCTGTTTGATTCCCTCATGTTAACAGAAAAAGCAACTCCTACAGCTGCAGCCTTGGCCACTCCCCTGTTACAGCAGAGACCAAGCACAGCCCTGATTGCCTTAACACCGTGATGTAAAATGGGTAAAACAAACCAACCGCTCAGAGATACTGAGACCTCATCTACGTTTGCCCCTGGAGTAAAATAAAAGCATCAGTGCTCTGACCTTCCTCCCACGTGAGCTTGTTTCTTTATGCTCCAGAATTAAGCCGCTGAACAAGGGGTCCCTGGCGCACGCAGACATTGACAGCGTTGGAAGGGGTTCACGAGAGCTCTGGACCTGGGCCGAGGAGCAGTGGGAACCAGCGGTGCCGACCTCTTCCAGGGCAGATTCTGAAAAGAGCTGGCTGGAGCCCAAGCAAGAGAAGAAAGGCAGATGTGCCCTGGCCTCCCTGACACTCTGGGTCTTCCCACAGTCTGGGGGTTACATTCGCTCCCACCTGAAAGCAAAACAGCCTTAAAAGTGAGCGTGCGAGTGTGCTAATCTCTTAGGACAGCACATGCATAAAAGCAAGTGTTTATATAAATGATACCCCTCACGTCAGGCTGAATTTAATTATCAAAGGAGAAAAAGCACATTTTGTTTGGTCTTTTACTAGTCAAAAATGGCTGGTATTTAATAAGCCCTGGAGCCAGATCTCAGTAGGACAGGCTTTTTATGGGCCAGAGGCACCTACCGTCCCGTCCCTCTCCACACACAGCCACTGACCTGTGTCCAGCTGATTTGAATTTACTTCCTAAATCTGATGCTTCTCCCAGTTAGATCAAAAAAAAAAAAGGAGAGAGACAGAGACACGGCATTTCTAGACCACAGTTCTTGGTGTCACTACACATTACTGATAATTTAGGAATGCTACAGAACATCTCAAGTTTAAAGTACTTTCATGGTTCCAATGGAGAGCTAAAACAGATGGGGTTTCAGTGTGACCTTTCAACCTACCAAACACTGTTGACCCAGATTATAGTTCAACAAAGCTGCTCTCGGATTCATGTTACATTTTGGGAGAAACACCAGGGTTACAGTGAGAAGGGATGGGCTGCTCGGGGGCAGCTCGGATGGCTGGCTCCAAGAGCTGCTGGCTGGGGCTGGCACCTCTGCCCCGCTCCTCGCCTTTATGCCAAAGGAGGTGCTCAGTGCTCGCAGAGAGCCCCCTGAGCTGTCATAAAATGCTGGGAAAGGAATGCAGGGATGGGAAGAATAACAGCTGGGAGATTTCACTGAGTAATCAAGGAGAGGGTCAAAAATTAGCAAGCAGGGAGGGGTGCTCCAGCCGAAAAGGCGTTTTTTCCAAGCTCAGGCTTCCCGCTAGAAAGCAGGAGCTGTGGACTTGTGGTGGTGTTGAAGAAGGGCCAGGTTTTATCGCAGAGGGGGCTGCGTTTCAGCAGAGGGTGAAGAGATTGCTACAGCCCAGGCGGCTCAGCGGCGGGGCCGGCCAGCCCGAACAATGTGCCCACCCAGGCTGGGTCGCGGCGAGCCCAGCTCGGCTGTCTGAGCCCAGCCGGTTGGGAACTGGAGCAGGACCATAAACCGCCCAGCGCTGTGGCATCCTATTGAAATGGATGAAGTTCCTGTCAATGTGCTATTATTTTAGACATTACAGCACTAAAAATAGCGCTTGTATTTTTTTAGCAAGCTTGTTGTTTTCAGGAGCTCTGAAAATATAAAGGGTTCCATAAGTGCTAAGAACAAGCTTGTGAAATAGTCTCACTGGAATACAAAACCACTTGAAAATACTGTTTGTTACATTTCCCTATGAACCCAACAATAGACCGCATGGACTGTTTTGCTCAGACACTGAATTTATTTTACTATAAGAAAATATAGGGGAACCCCCCCACCCCCCAAAACCTAACTAGTTTTTCTCTATTCCAGGCAGCAGCCAGACTCTGGACTCTCACAAAGTGTTTCCGAAATGCTATCACCATGCCAAAAGCTTCTTCCATCTCTTTGTCCGCCAAAATAAAACGTTCCTGCTCCAAACCTTAATTATCTCTGCTTGTAACAACAAAACCAGAAAAACAGCTCTCACGTCCTTCCAGTGGAGATCAGCTGTATGAGAAGGACCGGGCTCATCTTAATCCCGGTAAGACTGACACGTGTCCTAATTGTGAAATCTGTACAGCATTTTTCAGAGCGGCTTTTTGCAACTGCTGCCCACGTCTATCACTGCTTGTTGGAGCCCTGCCGGAGCCTTTGCCCCCTGAGCTGCCAGCACCACAGCCACCAGTGGGGGCAGCTCCAATCCTCCCCGGTCCAGCACGAGGCTGTCAAGTAAAACCTTCGGTACCCGGTGGGGAATTTCCCAACACATCATCCCAGGAGCCCTCGATGCCGAACAAGTAGGAGCTTATCACCGTGTCGCTGTTCTGTAACTGAAATGGGATGATGATGTGCTGGTAGCTGGCCAACATTTTGTGTTGCAACATTTTCCAGATTACAGCAGACGATAAAGGTGCTGCGCTTAATGAGTTTTGTCAACTCAGTTATCGCTTTCGCATCGCACGAAGCAAGTTTGGGGCTAGACTTAGCAGCTCTGCAGCCCCTTTCATCCCAAAATTTCAAAGTGATTTGTCCGCATTAATCACATCTCAAAGCTGCCTTGTGAAATATCTGTTTGGGCTCCGTAAGAGCACTGGGGCTGGCTGCAGCCACCCTGGATGAAGGTGTGGAGGGGTAGCGGCTGCCCAGCGAGCAGCAGCAGGTGTGGCACAACGCTTCCCTGCACTGTGCTCAGCCACCCGAGCTCCATGGGGCACTCCCAGGCACTTTACTATTACTGTCTGTAACACCGCTGGATGGATTTTTCTTCCCGGAATTTAGAACCCTCCTAAACTCTTAGCCCTCTCCATGTCTCCTAGCAGGGAGTTTAAATACAGAGCATGCTAAAAAGATTCTGGTTTTCCTGCCTCTGACTCTGCCTTCTCCTCACTTCCTTTGGTTTGCTGCTTTGTTGGAAGAGGCATCCCCTGCTCACCTTCCCCAAGCTTTGGAGACATCTATCCCTTCTAAGTCCTACCTTTTCAAAACAGAAAGGCCAGACACAGTTGCATTTAAATATCCTATTGCTATATATGTGCCAAACTGCCACTGAAACCAAAACTAAGGGAACATAAAATCCTTGGGGAATGACCCAAAAGGGCTTGCCATCCGGCACGTGCAATGTCAGAAAGCTCTCCTCCCAGCTCCCTCTCTCCTGCCCTGACCAACAGGACCTGCACAGAAATGAGATGTTATACAGTAAGCAACAAGCCTTTCCCGTTGTGTGATGGGAATTACCGAGGCTGACTCTACCTGCCAGATGTGTTCCTTCTCTAGGCGTATGCTGCCCTGTTGGCAGGGGACGTGAGAGGACGGGGAGAGGCAGAGATTAGCATTCAAAACTAAGTTTTATATTTAGATGACTATGAATACATACATGTACTCTTTCCTCATCTTCTCACACCGCTTATTTTCTGTTTTTAATTACTTTAAAAACTCTAATTTTGAAAGATTATTATTTCTTTAATCAAATTTTTGCCTGCACCCCAAACGCAGGCTTAATGTTACAGCTATGACTGCAAGTCCAAAGGAGACAGATTTTCTGTCCCCACCCATGAAGAACAGTTGATTCATTTAAAACTGTGCCAAGGCCATATGCAAATCTTCCTAATAGGAGCAGCTGCTGGACTCACAGCCCAGGGGATAAACACAAGTTGTGTTCACGCTGCTGCCCCAACTCATGTCCCCAGAATCACATTCAGGTGGATGAAATCGCAGCCGCTGTGAGCTCGCTGCAGCCACGGAGGTAATTGTAAAGGAGAGCTGAAGCCTGTGTACGCCGGCATGCAGCTCAGGCAGCAGGAGTGCAGCCTGGAGAGGAAAATGTGGAGGAAAATGTGCCTGGGCTCTCCTGCAGCAAACTGGCATTGTCCTCGGGCAGCCGTGCCAGTCTGCAGCACATTAGGGTTTGGCCCATGTTTGCTGTTGAGAAAACAACCTTCCATCTGGATTTCATCCTCCTAAACCCCGTGTGTATATTTTATTTGTGTATATTCTGTAACTGACAGAATGTTTTATACAGTTTTAGGATAGGCACTAGGATGATACCTGGGAAAACAGCTCTTTTGTGTTAAATGGAAATGACAGCCTTTCTGCTTTGCTCTTTTGAAGCTTGTCTGACAAATATCTGGATGAACCTAAGTCAGGGAAAGACCAAGTCAACACTGCTGAAGAGGGGGAGAACCTGGAGGAACTGAAGGTCCCCCTCTCACCATCCTCTCCAGGAGCCCAGCCTCCCTGCTGCTGCCCACCAAATGCCAGGCCACAGGTCTGGCTTCTCACTTTTAAACAGTAACAGAAATCCTCTTAAATCCAAGCTCCTTTGGTGGAAATCAAACATCCCTGCTCAGTGGTAGGATGTCAGGTGGCTGGGACTGACTACGCTTTGTCCCCTAGAAAGCATATAAAATCAAGGCATATCACTACAACTGCTTCTTTTCTGCTTCTTTCTCATCCCCAGTCTTGATCAGCTATCCATGCCTTTTGTTGCCTAAAAACTAGATTTCCATAACATGTTTTGCTGTGGACAGTTTATCCTTTTATTTTTTTTTATAACAGAAACTGCAGCCAGATCAGGCTCCAGTGCCCCCTAATCTGTTGTTTGTTTACATAGGCCATGAAGGAAAGAGTCCAACAGCAGAACGTGTTTGAGAGCATCACACGTAGTACCCGTTTCACATCCCCAGAACATCACACACTGCCTCTCTGGGGAACCCGCACCTCCAGGAGATGGGGTTGCCAGTCACAGTCACGGTCCACAGCTTCCCAGATTGGGTCAAACTGCAGTGACCCGGTCTGCATCGAACCTGGAGCTGTTCTGGAAACAGTTTTCCCCTCTAGCTATGAAAAAAAAAAAAAAGAAAGAAAAAAAAAAAAGAAAAAAACAAGGGAGAGAGATTTTCCTGTGAGTTTTAAGACTCCAGAATTATTTCAAGGAGCAGCATTTCAAACCAATGACGATGTGCCATCTGGTTAGAGTAAGCGTAAGAGTAAGGTTGAATTTCTTGGAAAAGAAACAAACTCCTTTTCAGCTGCGGAGAACCCAAACCAAAACAGAAACATCCCTCCTTTTCTTTTCTCCTTGTGTCATGTAAATTTGTGGAGGAATATTATCAAAGTGAGACACACTGTGTGAAATCGTGTTATGTATACTGTTCACAATGGATAATTTATTTTGGGTTAATTGCTCCTGTCCAAGACCCATCACTGTCTGAGTCAGATGCTTTTGATTGTGTAATGGTTTGGGAACCTATGTCCGCAGGGCAGAGATCCCCTTTTGGAGCATGTATTTCTCCCTGTACAGCTCTCTCATGTCTTAAGGAGATTAAGGTGGCAGAAGGCTAACAACCCAAAAAGCTCCACTAAGAAATCTGAATATACCAGGTGAAAATATGGTATTCAGCTTAATTCAGTTAATGATCCCAGAAGTGCTACTTGTGTGCTATCAGTGAATGCATCAGGCAGACGACCGTCTGTAGGAGGGCTGTTTTTCACAGAAGGACAATTGACAGAGGAAAAAAAAAAACTTGTTCTGAAGCTGTTCTGCATCTGATCAGTGCTTATTGTAGAAACATTGGTGAGAAAGAGGAGGAAGCACGGAGAAGGTAATTCTCACCCCCTAATTTTCAGAGCCAGTCCCAGCCAGGACAATGGCTCAGACGCCCCACTCTGGTGTTGCTCTGCAGCTGTCCTGCAGCAGAGGAGCTGTGCACAAACCTCCCCACGGGGTGATCTGCTCCCACAAGGGCTGGCTGCAGCACTTCTCCGCACACTTTACATCACTAAAATACTACAAAGGGATTCCAAATTCTTGCCCAAAGTTGAGGTTGAACTTAACGTTCCACTTTGGGTGCAATTTTCAAACCCCTCAAATGTTTGAGAAGAGAACAAACATTCACACGTGTTTGTTTTGTTTTTTTCCTTAAAATTCCTTCTTTCCCTTCATTTGAGGACTCTTCTGACCATCACTCCAGACTTCATCTGAGCCTCAGGGCTGCAAAAAGTTTTGCCCAGTTTCAGACTTTGCAATGAGTGTTTTGCTTAGATTTACATTCAACCTCAGAAGATGCAAACCATTTCTACGGCTAATTTAATGAAGGATGATCAGTCAAAGAAATCCTCTTCCCACCTCAAGAAATAAAATTATTTAAATGGAAGAAAACTGTTCCTAATTAATGATGGAATATGAAACATATATAATTCACAATTTTGACACTGGGGAGAAACTCTGCTGCATTGTTCCAGCAAGATGATCAATGACATCAAAATACGAGTCTCAGAAGCTTGAATTGTTCTAGACTGCAATGGAGAAAAATAAAATGGCTCCACCTACTCACCAGTGAAAAAATGTATCTCCTGAAAAAGTCCACCAACTTTCAGTCATTCTGGGCTTTATGCAATATCTTGTGGCTTTTTCTGGTGCTGTTTTTATGATGTTGACAATCAAATCTCCAAGTGACATCAATACTGGTGGGACAAAAAAGGAAACAAAATGAAACGGTTAGAGCATAGACATTCTGGAAACTCAAAGCAAATAATAAAACACTGGAAAAAATCATAGTAGATCTTAATTAAGAGCCTGCCTTTATTGTAGCAAAGGCAAATCATTAACAGCTTGTGTTTAAATTTCTATCGGTATTTCCTTTCCAAACAGTCAAGGAGCGTAGCTAACAAAATACGCCGTGTGGCCATGCACAAGATAATCATCAGCTTAATTGGACCAAAGTGCTTTAACATCTTCTAGCTCGATACCAACAAAAGTCCATCAAAAAATAGCCACATAATTCACCATCTAAACTTCAGCTCTTCCCTGAGCATGAATCACAGGATCCTATAATTGCTCCCCAGTGGCAAAACCACAAGCATGGAAGCAAATGAACCATGATAAGAGTCTCTCATATTAAAAGCATCATAAAAGCCCAAACACAAAGCCTAGCGAGAAGTGCCCTTCTCCACATGGCACAGCTTTGAGCAGGCTGCGTTCACCCCCCCGGGTGCAGCCTGTGCTCTTCTGCGCACTGGAATTCGGCCGCTTCGTGACAATATTCCAGACATGGAATTAACACTTCTGAAAGCTTTTAGGGATCAAAGGTTGCCCCCTTCGCAAGTTTTTTCATACCGAGGACATGATGAAGCAGTCTGGCTCTAGTTGGAAGAATAGTTCAGATGACACTCGGAGGGGTTGTGGTAAGAGGCGGTGGCTGGGGAGCCGGGACCAAGGTCGGCTTCAGCCTGGCAGCACGGTCCCCCAATGCAGCCACTGCAGAAGAAGCCTCTGCTCTCCATCCACGGGGAACAGGGTCTGCTGCTAACACTCCTCAGGGGTCTTACAGATGGAGCCCCACGTACAGAAAGAGCTCCTGCTTGCCCTGGAGTTAACTTGGGCTACAAACATTATGCAGAGCAATGGGATGCTTGCTAACTGGCATGTAGTCCTCCACCAGAAGCGAGCCAGAGTCGCAGCTCAGAGGCAACCTGCCTTCCCTGGGGGAACCGAAGGGCAGCACCCCCCTTGGGAGTGACAGAAAGTCAGCCCCTAAGCCATGCAGACAGACAATGGTTGTAGTTTAGTTTAGTTTTTATAGGTGACACATCCAGAGCTAAGGGCAGTGTCTCAGTCCCTGTGACAAAATGGGATTGTTGCTGCTCTGTCGCTGCTGGTGATGGCGAAGAGAGCTGTGCTGCCGCTGTCTCCAGCTGGTGGGGGTGTTACACATCCCATTTCCATCCCTTCACAGTGGGAACCCGGCACTGTATTTGCAAGACCCTAACTGAGCTACCCAAGCTGTTTTCAGTGGGCTTTCAGGTGTTTTGAAGACCCTTTTGACAACGTGTGCCTAATGCCTTCAGGCACTATCAAAAACGCCGTCTTTCCTGGGGATGGCTGACTAAACAGAAGTTTCAACAATCATGTCATAAATATCTCAAGACAAGCCTGTTGATTCAGTGAAATGTGTGGTTGGCTCCTATTGTAAATGCATTCACAGAAAACCTCACAGTCCGCTGCCACTTGGGATTAGTTGTGAGCAAAAACGAGAAACGTTTGGGGGGTTTTTTAATAACATTTTGATACATTACAAAGTGGCTTTTCTTTTAATTTTATACCACATCGTTTGAGATGACATGAAGCAACATAATTTGTCAAGACAAGATATATAAAAATAAATAAATAAGAAGGGATTAGAAGGAGAGGCGGTTCTGAAAGTTTGTTAGTTGGAAAAGGCTCTAATTTAAATCAGAAATGTCTGGATTAGATTATTCTGACAAGCTAAAAGGAGGCAAAATTGTGCTACACATTTATGAAGCTAAAAGGACATGGAAGGAAAGCGACGTCTTCTGACTGAGCGGGTAGCTCTCCAACCCAGCTGCCTCTGGGTTTGAGTCCAGATCTGATAAAGGCTGGTAGCCCTGAGCGAGCCAGGGGTCTACAAAACTTCAGATCCATGGGTGAGCCAGGCCACGAACCAGACATGTTCAAATCAGTAACCATCAGAGGGCAGAGGACATCAATTTTACGTTTAAGATGATCTTTCTTCTGAATAAAATCCTAGACTTTGGCAGGCAAATCCAGTTATCGACCACTTCTAGGAAAGGGGAAAGTCTTCCCACTCGGCAAACCTCCCCAGCGTGACGTGCAAAGCCCCAGCAGTGACGGGGCAGAGATCCTCCCGACCAAACACAAACCAGCCTCGCTGCAGTCAGCCGGTCAACCAGAAATCAAACTAACCCAAGCAGAGCTTTTAATTCTAGCAAAGAACAAAGCCAAACATTTCCAGCTGCAGAAGGGGAGATCCGGCTTATCTGATAGCTCAGGGAGCACAACCAAAGTGTAAAGTCCCAGGTCCCCAGCTGAGGGCTGCAGAGCAGAGGCTGACCCAGAGCCCTTCACCCCTCTGCTGTACCGGCTGAGATGTTTGGCAGAGTGGTAGGCTAGTATCCTGACCTTTTTTTTTCCTGAAACTTTCCTAAATTTCACCATCATGTGTGGAAGTAGCACTGCAACAGATATTTTCCAAGTGCACGTTTCTAAAAATCAGCATTTCCCCCGGGAGCCTTTTTTAAAATAAAACGAATTATAATATGGAGCTTGTGGAGCACTTTGAAGAAAAACAGTATTATTAAAACAATACTGTTCTAATTCCAATAATTACTATAATAAAACTAAAAGGATTATATGATTATATTCACATTATGGTATTACCTTATGTCTCAAAGGATCCAGCGTGAATTTCAAAAAGAAATTATTACAAAAGTTCAATCATTTCTTAGCAGCTCTACTAACCCCCTTGGGCTAGGTGTCAAAGGAAAAAAAACTCTTTAACTTTCCAAAGCCGTGAAAGTTTAAAGACCCAGCTTGTCAGAATGACACCCTCCTTACACATGTATAATCTGTGCTTACGGATAAATGGCAGCGGGATCCTGGCACTGGCATTTTAACTAGGTGAATATAAATACCACCACACCAAAAAGCAGCCCTGTGCTGTGCACAAAAGCAAATTTAACCTCTCAGACAGCACATGAGAAAATTCGGTCCTAACTGTTCTCCCAGTCAGGATTTTTCTTTCTAAGCACTCATGTGAAAATCTTCTGCGCGATCAAGTTCCTGGGTTTTTCTTTACTTCTCAGGCAGAAAGAATAAGTCCCTCTTGCTGATACTTTAATCTCAGTTCTTTAAAATCCAGATAGGGCGAGCATGAGGTTCAGCCTCCTGCTCCATGCCCTTCAGCTCCTGCAATGCCTCGCCTTACAGCTTGCTTACAGATATATTTCAATTGGCAATATTCAAAATTTCCAAATGGAAAATAGCTGCTGGTATGTGAAGATGGCCAAATTGCAGGACAATTTTATTCCCACCAGTCGTTGCCATGCAGTGTGAAATTACAGCTCGTATTACTCCATACCATGGCTTGCAGAAATTTGGACCAAAACTTTAAAAATATTAATGTGTATGCAAATGCAGTCTTGCACATAAATCAAGCACACACACTTAATCTGGTGCTTTAGCTTTATGAAATGATAGATCAAAGCAGAACAAATGAGAAGATGGAGCCCAAATTAACACATTAACTGAAACAGAGCACTCTCAGATCCTGGAAACCACGCTCCGTCTGGGTGTCACATATCCGATTACATTCCTCATAACTCAAATGACAGAACAGACTGAGAGAAGCGAGGATGCCTATTCCTACTCATCACCAGCTACTCACAGTAATTTTTTTCAGAGTACTAATAATTATCCTTAAAGAAGAACAATTAAAATCCAGTGTAATTGGAAGTCTGGTTATGATTATGGATGAGTCAAACTGCTTTGGAAAACGAACACAGAACTGTTTGGAGCTCCATTGGTATTTTATTAATCATGTCATTAAAATGGATACATAAAGTGGGTGCAGCTATACAGTGGGATCTTCAAAAGCTCTCACTAGCCGCACTCTGCTCCTGGTAAAGTTGGTAGAAGTTTTATTCCTTGAGTTTAATGGGAGCAGAGTTATGCCAGAACCAAGTGTTTTTTATAACATCCCACCCATCTCGTTCGGAGGCAGCCCTTTCTTTCTGGTGATCCCATAATCCTGAAAGAATCTTCCTGTCCCAACAGCAGCCCTGGGACTGGAGGTGCTACAAGGCCTCGAGCCTGGGGATGTGGGGCAGAAGAGATCTTCCCGTCTTCCTCCCATCTATCAGGATGAGAGCAGCTGGGGCTCTGTGTCACGGAGGGAGGACTCAGCTTGAGCCTGGATGCTGAGCCTGCTGCTGGGGGTAGAGCGCATGAGACTTGGCCTTACGGAGCTGAAGAGTAATGCAGCAATTTGGAGCAGATGGTTAGCATCAGAGAGCTGTTTAAAGAAACAGTGTTGAGAGTAGAGAGCTGAAAAATAACATAACAGGAGATTTATTTGTGGTCGCCAGTTCAGGGCTGTCTAAGAAACATCAGCAGTGGCTGGCACTGTCAATTCATCACAGATAACATGGAACCTTGAATCAAATAGATTTTGGCTTTTTGTTTTGCAAAACCAAAACCTAATCCGATAAGAGTGGGTCTAAACAAAGCAAAACCTCTTATACTGTCCTCCGAGACAGCTCCCTCGGGCACCAGAACTCCAAAGCAGGTTGTTAAGAAAAAACAGGAATGTACCGCAAAATGCAGGACTTCAGGGACAAAGCTTTCCAGTGTTTTGCTTCTGAATCATTTTGTCAACATTGGAAATTTGGACTGAATCGCATTGGAAAAATGGGCAATCATTCATAGAAAGCAAAGGTAAAGAACGAGCAGCGGGAATTAGGCTTAGCTCTCTGCTCTGCCCAGCTCTGAAGAAGCCTCTCAGATGCATGCACAACCCGCTGCAGCTAAGCAAGTGATCCCAGCAGGCTAGAAGAGGCACACTACCAGCAAAAGCTCTTAACAGAATAAATATCTTGAAAAACATGAGTTTAAAGTAGATTCTGTCATTTGTTTTTGTTCCAAATTG